ATTCTCTTAACAGTGTTTTTTAAAGACCAGAATACTTAATTTTGATGATCTGCTTATCAATTTTTTTTGTTTTATGTTGTTTTATTTAAGAAATCTTTGCCTAATCCAAGATCACAACGATTTTATGGAAGTTTTACTATTTTATATAAATGCCTATGATCTATTTTGAATTAATTTTTGTAATTGGTGTGAGGTATGGATCAAAATTCTTTCTCTCCTGTTTTTCTTCCCCTCCTCATATGGATATCCAATTGTTTCAGCATAGTCTGTTGAATTACCCTTTCAATGTGTTGAAGATCAGTGGTCTATATTTGTGTGGATTTATTCCTGGACTCTAGTCTGTTTTCCATTGATATTATTTTTTCTTTTATGCCAATACCACAGCTTGATTACAGGTAGTGTATGTTCTTCCGTTTTGATCTTTTTATCAGACTGTTTCAGCTCTTCTAGGCTCTTTGCATTTTCATATAAATTTTAGAACCAGTGTGTGCATTTCTACAAAAATAAAACAAAGCACCTGTTGAGATGTTTATTGGGACTGCACTGAATCTGTAGATCAATTTGGGAGAGAATTGTCATTTTAATTATTCTCCTGTATGATTTCAACTTCCAGCTACATTGCTTAGAGCTGTGTAAACTTGGACACTTTACTTAATCTTTCAGAGCCTCATCTTTTAAAAATATATATTTTTATTGATTTCGTAGAGGAAGAGAGGGAGAGAGAGCTAGAAACATCAATGAGAGAGAATCATCAGTCAGCTGCATGCCCCACACTGGGGATGGAGCCCACAACCCAGGCATATGCCCTGACTGGGAATCAACCCACACCCTCCTAGTTCATGGGTTGATGCTCAACCACTGAGCCACACCAGCTGGGCAAGCCTCAATTTTTTTTACCTATGAAATGGAGGTGATTATTTACCTACCTCTAGGGTAATGTGACGAATAAATCAATCAATACTTGTTAAGTGCTTTTGCTCTTATTTTCTAATCACTTTTCCTTAGGAATTGGATTTACAAGGTAAATAAAGAAACTTTTATTTCTTCAACTTCCAACCCTCATTTACCAGACATACTTTCATTATAATTTTATATTTTGAAAAATCAGTAAGCTCTCATTACACATAGGTGGAACTGAGATCCCAAGCCAAACACTTGGTCAAGACTATTCATCTAGCAAGAACAAAGGAGAACTTCTAATTTTAATCCTAAATGTTAGCATGAATTGACAGGCTCAACTCATTCGTTACCTATTTGTGTATTACCTAATAAATGCCAGCCACTGTATAAGCCCTCTGCTGGCCTTTTGGGATTAAGAGTGAGGCCAATGGATGGTATTTCCTCTTCTCACAAAGCTTGGGAACTACCGGAAAATATAGACAAGGAAACATACACTTTTAATATAGAGTAATAGATACACATAAGGGAAATTGTGGAAATACAGTTGAAGAGCAGCTAACCTGGAGCTGGGGGTCCGGGAAGATATTTGTAAAGGACGTGACCTTGAAACCAAGGTCAGAGGATGAGTGGGCAGTAGCCAGGTTTTAGAAATGTGGAAGGGAGGATTTGGACCAGGATGTGGGCAATAGAGAAAATGCACAGTTTGTATTTTATAGATGGAACAAATATCTGGATGTAAGAGAGAGAACAGTATGGTGTGAAAACTGGGGAGTCATCAAAGAGGGGTGCCATTGTGAACAACAGTAAAAACAATGTCAGGTGGTTTGATTGTATCCTCTGGTTTTAGGTTGGGGAGTGTTAAGATTCAATGTGCAGTTTAGAAAGATTCCTTTTATATTGAAAATAAAGTAAAGAGGGTAGGGGGATGAGGTATTGAGGTACCAGAGAGAGGTACTGAGGTACCAGATGCTCAGGAAGAGTAGCCATGGGTGGGGATGGACATGGGGGAAAACTAATGACAGGCCCGGTGCTCCGTGGATGTGTTTTGGCAAAAGGAGATGGAATTGTTAAGTTGATAGTCAGGTGCCTGACCTGAGTTAATTGGTTAACTGTTTGGTGGTGGTGTCTTCCTGAGTAGGAAATGTAGAAGGGCAGCAGGTTTGGTGTGGAAAAAAGAGAGGTCAGTTTGCTTATGCGAATTTCAGGTGATGCTAGTGGAAAAACCCACCTGGAGATTGTGTGTTGGGAGCTAGAGACCCAGTTTATGCAGAGTCTTGAGTGTAGAGCAGTGGTTCTCAACCTTGGCTGCACATTAGAATCACCTGGGAATCTTTTTTAAATCCTGATTTCTGGGCCTCATCCTCTGGAAATTCTGTTTCTTTGTTACTAATGTTGTGGCCCCAGCCCATAACAAAGAAACAGAATTTCCAGAGGATGAGGCCCAGAAATCAGGATTTAAAAAAGATTCCCAGGTGATTCTAATGTGCAGCCAAGGTTGAGAACCACTGGTATAGAGAAAGATGGGAAGCTAAGAGGGTGCATCACCTGGTGGGTAGTGGGAGAACACAGGCTTTAGATGGAAAGGGGCCCTAGCCAGTTTTGCTCAGGGGAGAGAATGTCAGCCTGTGGACTAAAGGGTCCTGGGTTCGATTCAGGTCAAGGACACGTGCCCAAGTTGCGGGCTTGATCCCCAGTAGGGGGCGTGCAGGAGGCAGCCAATCAATGATTCTCTCTCATCATTCATGTTTCTATCTCTCTCTTCTCTGAAATCAATAAAAATATTTTTAAAAAGATAGAAAGGGGAGGATTATTGTCTTTAAATTTGGGACTTGAAAAAAAACTCCTAACTTGGTGTTCTTGAGCATGTTAAGTTTAGCATGCATTCAGCATGCATTAAAGTGCTGCTTCCTTCTTCCCATTACCTCAATCACACTCTTGTTTTCCTTGTCAAGTCTGGCATCTGTAACAGGATCCAAACAAGAAATGCAGAAACATTAGAGTCTCTGCTTCTAATTCCCAGAGTTGAGTAAAATTGCTCTAAAAGGCCTAAGCATTATCTTTTATTCTTTAGTTATTAGCACGAAATGAAGAAGCCTGGTTAAATCTTAAGTTTTTCACTTTGTGTTCCTCCAGTTATATGAAATAGAACCCAGAAGCTTAAATAATAAAAGTAAAAACAGGACAGCTTTCTTGAGGGTGTGGAGAGGAGGGCCTTGACATATCACCATCATTGACAAGTGGACTGAAGTGGCTTGCCGAAAGGGTTAGTGTTTCCACAATTTGAATTATGGCCCAATGCTTTTATTTTATGAGGAAACCAAAGGCTGAGTGTGTGTTTTTTTTAAGGGGTAAGTGATTTGCCCTTTGCCACTCTGCTGGGTAGAGAACAGGTGGCCTTAGTACTGGCAACCCTTGGTTCCTAGTCTAGTGCATTTTCTGCAACATGGTGGTGTTGCCTGATGGGGGTATTTCCATTAGTCACCATCTCCACTACCACTCACACCACCCCTGCAGCACTCTGAGTTATTGAAGGTGAAAAAAAGAGTAGCAGGGAAAAGACCAAAAAAAAGAGATGTGCTTCATTGTTCTAGATGTCAAAGACCTGCTGGCCTGTCAGGCCCACAGCAGGTTCCCTGACATTTTCAGGGAAAGCTTTGTGTGGCGGTTTATAAAGTCAACATCTCTTTCTGTTTAAGCTGCTTTGGGGCCAACTGGCTCTCAGTGTCACAGTAGGAATTTGATATGTCTGTTTCATTTGTCATTTTCGGTATAACATCATTTAATTTCATAATTGTATGGTAAGAACGTTATCGTTAGTAAGCAAAAATTTATTATTACTTTATGAAAACTGAAAATAGTCCCCCAAGGCTAATATATTATTTGGTAAGTCACTTAATGAGGAGTTGGAAGACTTGCTTCAATCATAGCAATAGCTCTCTTCTTTGACTTCAGTAAGTCCTTGGCATTATATTAAAAGCTTCCATTCTATAGGTAAAGAAAATGTCTGAAGGGGTGATGCCATCTGCTGAGACTGGCGCTAATAAGGGCTGTTTGGTTTGAGATTCCTGAATGTTCTGCATTCCCAGGTGCTTTCATTCCTAGGATCACTCCTGGCCCAGTATTCTGCTCAGTGCTCCATCTGCTTGTACGCACCTCCTGTGAATCCTCTCGTTCTTCTCCTTCAGTTGAGCCCCGTTCCCCCAGTCCCCCCTCTGTAAACCACCTTCCCAAAGTGCAGGCATGTGTAGCATTCTTTACTGAAGGTTGCTTGGGTTGGGGTGTGGGAGAGGGGAGGACGCAGGAGTGGAGACTGTTACATGACAGCATAGCAAACAACTTCAAAACCGAGTTATATATACTTTATCCTATCTAATAAAGAGGTAATATGCAAATTGACCATCACTCCAACACACAAGATGGCCGGCAGGGGAGGGCAGTTGTGGGTGACCAGGCCAGCAGGGGAGGGCAGTTAGAGGCAATCGGGCCAGCAGAGGAGCAGTTAGGTGTCGATCAGGCTGGCAGGGGAGGGGTTAGGGGTGATCAGGCTGGCAGGCAGAAGTGGTTAGGGGCAATCAGGCAGGCGAGCGGTTGGGAGCCAGCAGTTCTGGATTGTGAGAGGGATCCTAGATTGGAGAGGGTGCAGGCTGGACTGAGGGACACACATCCCCACCCCCATGCACAAATTTTGTGCACCGGGCCTCTAGTAGATATATAATGCTGTGCCAGTGTCAGATATTACTCATTGTTGCTTTGATTCTAATCAATAAAAAGCTTATCGGAATCTATCTGGAATAACACTGTGTTCTCCCAGTTAAGTATCAAAAGAATAAATATTTAATTCTTGTGGTAAATGTATGTTTTAGGCAATATAGGAGTTTCTTCTTGTCTTCTGTTTACATGAGTCCTTTACACTGATAGATTTTAGCACAGATAATAACAAGGAAGTACAAGGGAGCTTGGATAGTCAAAGTAAGTTAATAGTTGTTTCTTTGTTTCAAATTATGTAACTGAAATTTGACACACAGAGCAATAAATAATTAGCAAGTGTGTGCTTTTTGTTCCTATTTAACAAAGTGATCTTCTTTTCTCTTTAATTTTAGGAAACAGATATTGATGACAGATATGGAGATTTGGATTCCAGAGCAGATTCTGATATTCCAGAAATTCCACCATCCTCAGATAGAACCCCTGAGATCCTCAAGAAAGCTCTCTCCGGTTTATCTTCAAGGTATGACTGGATGGTGCACAAGATAAGCTGTGGGGTTATCCTGGCCCATGTAGTACTATTTTCACTATTTCTAAGCTTTGGAGCTCTGAGAGAGAAGGCTTATACTTTTTCATTGTTGGTCAAGCACACATGGTACTAGATGCTTAATGTTCATCCTTCATTTCATACTTAAGATCTTATGAGTTACTAGGGGCCCAATGTACAAAAATTCGTGCAAGAGTAGGCCTTCCTTCCCCCGGCTGCCGGCACTGGCTTCCCTCCAAGATCCGGGACCTGGGACACAGGCAGGCACCCGGGACCCCAGTCAGCTTCCCCCAGGCTGCCCACAGGCACCCAGGACTCTGGCTGGCTTCCCTCTGGCACTGGCTTTGTCAGGAAGGACATCTGGAATGATGTCCGGAAGACGTCCAGTCTAATTAGCATATTACCCTTTTATTATTATAGATGAGAAAACCAAATCTGAGAGGTTACCTGGTGAAGGTTACAGAGCTATGAAGATGCAGACCTGGGCTTTTTATCCCAGTTGGTCAGATTTCTGAAGCCAGCGATCTATTTACTACATCAGGTTGCCTTTTCTGGTGTGGGAACATTTAATAAAGAAAATTGTATATTCTTTGTTTCCTGTTCTTCAAGTACCAGAGGGACATAGCTCATTTTTTAAACTGAGTTTTAAATTATTGTCCAAAACTCTGCAACCTTTTACCATTTTATATTTGTGCTATATTTTAAAATGTGTAATCACCAACAAATTTTACCTAATTTTATATTGCCCTCCTTTGTATGCTTTAGTAATATGAATTATAAAATTTATAAAAGCAAAATAAATCTAAGCTTTTCTTTAGATTAATATGTGAAATCTTATATGTTGGTATGGAACAGTTTTTCCATGTTTTTGACTGTGACATACAATAAGAGATACATTTTACTCCACATCCCAAGAGACACACAAATGTATATTTTAACTGCTACAAAAATGTTATGAAACAATTTTTACCATTACTGTGTGACATCCCCTCTTTTCTGTTTGATACTATTCTGTTATTGAACAAAATATTTTGGATGTAACTTACTAAATTGATTTTACCAGCCATGGGTTATAACAACAACAAAAAAATGGTTTAGTCATATCTAGTTAATGTAATATGAGTTTTTCTGTTTTTAGTTTCTAGGCCATAACCATATTAGAATAAATTGTTTCAAAGAAAAGTTTTCATAATTATTTAAACCAATACAACAAATTTTTTGCTGTTATTTGAAGCATGATTATTATTTTAATAGTCTTGATCCCAGTTGTTTTCACAACCTAGTTGACAGATGTACCTTTGCTTTAAAACCTTAGCAGGTCTATCTCAGATTTGGAAACTTATATTGATTTATATAAGAATGATGCTAGATTCCTATGTGTCAATAATAATTTCTTAACAATTAAGGTTCCTCCCTCCCCCCATGTAAAGCAACAATAGCAAGTAATAGCAGCTGATATTTATTGAGAATATACTGTGTACATGTATTGACTAACTTATTCTCGACCTGTAACACAGGTACACTTATATACCTACTTTATAAATGAGGAAACTGAGGCACGGAAATTTTATACATCAAGGCTCATGTGGCTAGTAAGCAATAGAACCACATTCTGAACCTAGGCATTGTGCTCTATTTATAAAATAATTGTTTAATTTTTTAATTTAAAAAAAAATATTTTTATTGATTTCAGAGAGAAAGGGAGAGAGCGATAGAAACATCAATGATGAGAGATAATCATTGATTGGCTGCCTCCTGCACACCCCCTACTGGGGATCGAGCCTGCAACCCGGGCATGTGCCCTTGACCAGAATCAAACCCGGAACCCTTCAGTCCACAGGCTGATGCTCTATCCACTGAGCCAAACCAGCCAGGGCAAGAATTGTTGTTGTTTTTTAATGAACAATAGAGGATATGTGACCAGTTTCAATCTTCTCATGAAACTTCACTATAAAAGTTACATGAATGTTTCAAAATCCGTATCTTATTCATTTTAGCCTCTATACTACCCCAAATAGTCTGTGTTACAATGATTTAGAAGTGGTGGATGCATAGGATTAAAAAAGTAGTTACATAAGAAATTTTCATGAATTGCAGGGAAACACCCTATTATCCTCCCACCAAGACATTGATATTTGCAGTATTGTGTTGTTTACGCTGAAGCTTTTTTCTCTTGTACATATTTTGCATGTGTGTGTTTGTGTGTGTGTGTGTGTGTGTGTGTGTGGTGTAAAAATAGCATTGTACTATTTTCTGCTTGTCTGTTTTCATTTTCATTCTGTGGTATTAGGAACAAATATCCTTAACTATACATAGATACTTTAAGTGGCTGCACGATATATTCCTTTGCATGACTGTAGTTTAACTAAAGAGCTGTCACTGGGCATTTAGCTGATTTCTAAATTCTCACGCTCAAAAACAGCTCTGCATTAAACGTTTTTCTCTAGAGATAACTTTTATTTAGTAACCGTAATTATTTTCTTAGGATAAAATCTTAAAAGTGAAATTGTTTGGTCGAGGTTCAGGCTCACTTTTGAGGCTTTAATCTACAATGTCAAAAAGTCTTAAGTTGTTGAAATTGGAAGGAGCCTGAAAGATCTTCGGCCACTTGGCAAGTTGTCCCAGTCTGTTTCTGCACCTGTGTCTGAGCATTCATGAGCCACTTAGTCTGGCTTTGTCCTTACTGAAGCTCTTCCTCAGCTATGAGTCTGGCTTAGCAGGTTTCATCCAGGGCAGTGCCCTGGACTTTGCCCCCACCTCCCCAGCAAACGTTTGGCAATGTCTGGAGACCTTTTTGGTTGTCACAATGAGAGATGGCGCATCTAGCACCTAGTGTGTAGAGGCTAAGGAGGATGCTAAACACCCTACAGTACACAGAACAGTGCTTCACAATAAAGAATTATCTGGCACAAAACAATAACGGTTCTGAGGCTGAGAAGCCCAGGACACATCCAGGTATAGCCGTAATGCCATCTTCCTTCTTTCCCTCCTTTCCTTCCTTCCTTCCTCCCTCCCTCCCTCCCTCCCTTCCTCCCTCCTTTCTTCCTTGAACCTATACACTTCCTGTGCATGTTCTCCAAACACTGGTAGATGGACATTCTCAAAACTCCCCTTCTTTGCCACCAAGTTTTTGTTTATTTTTTATTTTAAAAAACATTTGATTGATTGATTGTAAAGAGAGAGGGAGAGAAAGATGGACTTGTTGTTGCACCCATCTATGCATTCATTGGTTGATTCTTGTATGTGCCTGGACCTGGGATCGAACCTGATACTTTGGCATATGAAGTTGATGCTCTAATCAACTGAGCTACCTGGTCAGGGCCCATTCTTGCTTAATTTTGAGGAGTGCCTCTGTGTCCCAGTTCGTGGCTCAGGTGAACTGTCTTGTCAAATCAGGTTCTGGATGATTCATGATGCTTTTGGCACTAGTTTTTGTTTTTGTTTTTGTTTTTTCTTGTGTGTGTGTGTGTGTGTGTGTTTAAACCTTGCCATTACTTTTGAAATAAAAGCCACATAATAGTGGTGGTAATAGTAAGTCATTGTACATATTCAAATGTATTTGAACAATGTGTGTAATCACTTTAATCATTTTAAAGGATATGCTTAATTACATACTTTTTTTGGAAATCTTATTTCTGGCTCAGATAGGTCCTCAAGACATGAAACTTGGATGCACTTCTCCTCTACTGATTCTCAGCTCCTTTTTCCAAAACAATCTGTGAGATGATGACTTGGACTAAAAATTAAGGCATTCTCTAATGTGATCCTGGAAGTGTGGTAAAGGAACTGGAGAATTTTGAATTTAGAACCAGACTGTCCTCTGGTTTTTAGTAACAGTGATTTTCTTTTCTTTTCTTTCTTTTTTTGCATATTGTGTTCTGCTTTAAATTCAGTGCTTCTCTCCAGAAAGATGACTTTTGGTTACTGTATCAGTGGATATATATGTTATGTCTCAGTATGCGCTTAACTTTGTATTAGGTATTCTTGAGGAATTTGGGGAGTCAGTTAAGTTAAAATAAATAAGGGAAGTAAGTCTTTAATTTTATTGGAGTGGGAGAATTTTTCTCAGATGGGGAAATACCTACGTAAAAGACAACCAGACAGTATATGTTCCTTGAGAACTCTGGTTTTGAGTGGCCATGGAATTTTGGGGTGATATGAAGACAGTATGTTTCCTGTTTACATCTCTGGTTCTCAGCAGCTACCATTCTCTGAAGTTCAAAGCCAGGCATCTAACAGAGGTACACATGGACAGGAGAAACATCTACCCTGGGGCTGATTTCTAACCCTTACGTAGTGTCCACCTGACTAGAGAGGTTCTAGGTAATTCTGAGTCTGAGGATCAGTTATAAAGAAGGGCTAAGAGCACGTCTAGGTTTCATGCAAGCAGGTCAGGGTTACTATCAGGAGACTGCCTCATGTCCTTTATTTACCTCTGACCAGCTCTGTGACCTAGCCCGGTTCTCTAATCCATTCATTAGCCCATAAGGGGCTGTATCTCGAAAACTAAATGGAACCTTTCATCTATACCATTTTTGACTCTATACTCATTTCAGTTCAGCCCCAAAGCTTACAGTCTGTGAGAAATGTATGTGTCTACATAGTCGGTTGAACAGTAGAGGAAAATAAAGTCAGCTAAGAACAATTTGACCACTTCATGAAAAATCTTGGAAGCTAGATAAAAGAGTTTGGATGTAATGTTGGTATTTTAGATCTTGAGTGCAGAAATTACATTATAAAAGAGATATTTAAGAAGTATCTGGACTATATAGGAGGGTGATTAGAAGCAGGGAATGTAATCAATATTTAATAAACAGATGAAATTGGCAACTGTTTCTTTTATGGGAAGGAGACTAAAAGCCTTGCTTAGATACTGTACATATATGTTGTCATACTTTAAGTTGAATCCAAATCTCTTGTAACATAATTTAAATGCTATCATTCGAATCAATAGAAATCAGAAGTCTTCAAGAAGAAACTACTGTGTGTATAATGTAAAATGCGGGTAGAACGAATAAAGCAGGGCAGCAGTTTTAGATTCAGAAATCATCATCCACACACAGGTGTGATTAGAATCATTTTACTCGTGTCAAAAAGCAGCTGCCGACATTTCTCATGACATGGCCACATAGCGAGTGACAGTATTTGTAAGGTGCACTGAGGATGAAGTGGGAGGCTCTTAAGGGTGGGGGACCCAGACCCTGACTGACAGCTGCCCGGGGATTGAGGGAGATCAGTTCTCAGCAACGGGCTGGTGTGCCAGCAGGGATGCTGTGCTGTAAGGAACAAGCAAAGGCCCAAATAAGAAAATGCTGTTCTACTAAGGGCCCTGTCCCTAACCAAGGAGAGCAGGCTGCACACTGAGCCATAGAAGGACGTGGCATTCAGTTTGGCCTTGTCCTCTGCGACCGACCTCCTCGCCGGCGCCTTCTTCCTTTCACTGACATTGCTGTGCTCTCCAGTTTCAGTTCTGCATCAGCCTCTCTTTCCTCTTCCTCGCCGGAAGGTCACGCACTCTGTCTGAACCACCTTAAAATCATATTATTTTTATCGAGTACCCCCAAAGGATTGGTCAACGTTTCGGAGGACTTTTGCACCTGGCTCCTTCTTCCCTTCCGAATGACCCTGGGAGATGTGCACACGTCCATGTTAATCACCTCACTGCTTAGTCTCATGATTCATCCTCATTCATAACAAAAAGCAGGCTTTTTCTTTGGCTAACATAATCTTTACATTTAATTTAACTCTTCAGTGAGTGAACAAATGCTCTTTGGTTGGTTGCGTTTTTGTTGTTTTGTTTTGTTTTATTATAAGGGATTCTTTAGGTATAATTAGGGAAAATCCTTAAGTCTGGTAACTCAATACTGAAACCACCCACACAAGAAAAATACTGTAAGAACACATGAAGTGCTAACTTTATAAACGTTTTCTTTGCAGGTGGAAAAACTGGTGGATTCGTGGAATTCTTACTCTAACGATGATTTCCTTGTTTTTCCTGATCATCTATATGGGATCTTTTATGCTGATGCTTCTTGTAAGTATTTACACTTCCCTAAGGTGCTCTTGCTTTGTTTTTCAGCACTGGTGTGATTGCAGTAATTTGAGCATGTCATGACCAAGGAGGCAATGTAAGACTTGGTAACAGCAAATTTAGTTCCGTTAAGCATCTTGTAGTTCATGAAATGAACAAGGCTAATCTTTTCTGTTTGCAAAAGGGCCTTTGAATGTGTTCATTCAGCAGAGACCAAGTATATGCAGTCTATTCATGTCTTTTTGTCAAGATAAAACGGAAACACACACATATACATGACTTTAACATATAGGACGGTTAGCTAGATCCCTAACTTCGAGGAACTTAATCAAATGGCAGAGGCACATAAGTAACCCTATGAATAAGTAGGATGGTCATTAAATGGGGTAAGCCCCGTGGTAGAACTTGTTGGGAGAGCACAGTAAAAAAGTGCCTGCAACAGCCTGAGACAGAGATGAAGGAAGACTCTCAGAAGAGGTGATGCCACAGCTAGTCCTGAAAGAGGGACAGGACAAGGGGAGGCATTCCAAGGTGGGGACATCGTGAGCAAGGCGTGGAGGTAGCCTGTGGAGGGAATCTAGGGAGGAGACCAGAGAGGTGAGTGAGAGCTGTTCTGGGTGTGGGGACTTTGTCATGTATGAGAAGCCCAACAAGTCCTGAAGCCCAACAAGTATTTTAAGCTTTTCATTCATTTAGCAGATGCTCCCAGGATGCCTGCCATGTGCCAGGCATTATGCTAGTTCTGGGCTCTGGTACGGTGGCGTTGAGAAAAACACACCTGTCTGTGCCATCATGGAGCTTAAGATCTACACTTTAAAGAATTGATCAGAAATACAACTAAAAACTGCAATAGCATTTAATTAAAAAAAGAAAAAAAGGATGCTATGAGAGCAAGGGGGAACTGAAAGGCTTCTCCAAGGCCTGTGCCCAGCATAAGTGCTCGGTCTGAAGGCTGAGTAGGAGGAGTTGGCGTGGTGAGAGAGGGAGCTTGGGGGAAGGAGGGTCATCGCAGAGACTCCTGGACGTAAAGGCCTTGGCATCTAAAGAAGCATGAAGCCTTTGAAGCAAAGTGGTGGGAGTGAGAAGGAGAGTGCATTTGTTCAATAGATTTGTCACTTTATGCTGAGTGTGACTTAGCAGGGAGCAGTGAGAGCCGCCTCTCGGGGATCTGCAGCGTCTCTATTTTATTATTTCTTTTTCTTCATCCCATCTCGGTTAGTTTAGCCTCTTCTTCTGTACTCACCTCCCTGTGTCCTTGCCCACTTAGAATTCTGTTCACCTATCTTCTCCTTCCATGCTAGTCCTACTCAGAGCACTAAGCCAGGAGCAATATGAGATGGCTTTCCTTCATTCTAGAAAAGAATCCATTTTGAACTGAAATTAGACACGCTTGGGGAAAAATAAAATTCCACCAACCCCTGAAACCACTTAAAGTAACTCTCCTAAACACCAGCAAGCCCTTTCACTCTTCTTTTTGTCCTCATTAATTTTGTGCTTCCTTGGGGATATCAAGGTCACAAAAATGAATATAAATTGAAGAACTTTTTTTTTTTAGCAAGAAAAATGAATAATGGATGGGACTAATTTAATGTGAGGGCAGAAGCTCTGAGTCTGAAAGCCAGGTAGGCAGGGCGAGCACCGTCCAGGTGAGACTGGAGAGAAGAGCCCAGCTCCCTCCCAGCCTGCGTCTGAGCCCGCTGAGAGCTACGAGTGCCAAGTGACCACCACTGGCCTCGGGACTTGGGCATTGAAGGAGTGAGTGTGTGCAAAGCGCTTTTCAGTGGTGAGTGGTCGAGCCTGGAAGCAGGGATTAGATGATGGCAGACAGCCCATAAGGCTTTGTGTCTGAGGGACCTTTGGGTGGACCTTGAGGCTCTATCAGGGTGGATGCCTGCGTGCTGTGAGCAAAGGTCCTCACGGCCAGGTGTGTCAGAAAAGGCGGTGTTGCTCTTTCCTAGAGGCAGGGCCTTTGAACCGGGAGGAGTGATTAGGGATCAGATTCCGGAGGACCTTGGCATACTATGTGAAGAAGTTTGGGGTTTATTTGTAAAGCACGGAGGAGCCATTGAAAATACTGGGGATTATTTGAATTATGAGTCTCCTTTAGAAGATAAGTTTGATCAAGACGTTGCAAAACACCTGCATCCTTGGACACTGACTCCGTGGGCTCCCTGTGAATAAGTGGTGTGGTCTCCACACTAGACTGTTTGGTGTGGAGAGTAGGGCCAGAATTGGTAGACTGTTTTCTTCACCACTCTCTTATGACAAAATTCAAAACCCCTTTAAAGACATCCCTGGATTCTGATTTTTAAAAAGAGAATCATAAGCATACCTAAAGCACTCGGGCTTTTGGTTCATTTTTTTCCCCTCTATGAAAGGTTGTTTCTTTGGTAAGCTTAATCAGAGAAGAATATAAGAATGTTAAAGATGTAGTTAAAGTAGATTTGAACTGTTGTCACTCTTATTTAGGTTTATTGCATATGCATGCACACACGTCTGCACACAGGTACACATGCATGTATACATATGCTGTATTTATGATGTTTGTGTTAAGGAAATATGAATGGACATACACATACACACACACACTGTTGGTACTCAATTGCTTTCATGTGCTTTAAAGTCTTATTTACATCCATATCCCTAACTAGGTCATTTTTATTTTGAGTCAGACACATTGTATATAGCTTGCCTTTGCCTAATAATATCAGCACTTAAAAATGACTAATTCAAGAGAATTTTATTAAAAACTTCTAGGAAATGATAGCTACTATTTTAAGATGGAACTCATACGCATGGTCCTTAAAATGAGCTTTTTCCCTTCAAACTTTTATTTATAGTATTTTAATTGTTGCACCCACAGCTTGGAATCACACTTTCCAAATGATGGATTTACTAAAGCATATTTTGATTTAAAAGCAGGTGAGCACATATAGAAGATATTGTAGGAGCCCCCTCTCCCCCCCACCTTCTTGGAAACTCTTATAATAATTCTTTTAATCTACAATATATAATTTACTTTTTAATAGTGTTTAATTTTTCTCCATTGTGAAAGGTATAAAAGTATATTAAAATTACTTTGGAAAGTAGATAATTTTAAAAATCACCCAACCCAATCATTAACCACCAAAACCTAATTAATACTGCCATTTGATATGCTTCCTTTAATCCTTTTTTCTTTTATGTTTTTAAAAACCATGGTTGTAGTCATAATGTGACTAAAATTTTATATCCTGCTATGGAAACCAAATATCTTCTCAAGCGTTTTGTGTTGCTCTAGTTTTACAACCATCGGTTTAATACATTCATCTACTCCATGGAATGGAGGGCCTCATAAGTTATTAAACCATTGTGTTATTTTTAGACATGCAGGTTATTTTCTGTTTTTTCTTTTTTGTGAATAACACTGTTAAACATATTGCAGAATTATTGCAGAACATATGCAGAATTATTTTCTTTGAATAGATTCCCAAAGTGCGAATAGACACTTTTAGTTGGGTAACCACAGGTACCATAGTTCAGACTGAACATATGCAGATCTCAACTTCTATTCCAACCCCAGCCATTCTGCATAAATTAGTTTCCCAAGCCTTGCCTAGTGTTACTCTGTGTTCCCCTCTTTCCCTTGGCCCTTCCAATTTCTTCAACCTCCAAATCCTGTTAGTTCTACCCCTCGATGTGTGTTATTCTTGCAATCCATTCTGCCACCATCCCAGGTAGATGTTCACCCACACTCATCCGGATGGTGGTGTCCTGCCTGCCTTACTATCTCTACCTGTGCTGCCTCTGCAGTTAATTCTTTCCACCTCTGTTATCTTCAGACCCTCCCGTCTGATCATGTCCTTTCACGACTAGCACAGCCTCTTTTGTGCTATTTCCTATGGTTCTGGGACCCAGTTTATCTCTCTCTATGTATCACCCCCACCTCAGTGTTCCAGCAACTCTGAGAACCACATGCCTTGTCCTCTCTTACATACATAACTCTATTTCCTCCTCCTTTGCCCTGATTGTGGCCCTCCCCGACGCTCTTCCACAGTTTTTTTGTTTGTCTGCCTGTGCTTATTTATATCCTTGTAACTATTTCCACATGGTTTAGTAGTTATATGTCCTTCCTGACAGACAATGCCTCTCTGAGAACAGATGTCCTATGTCAGTAACTAGCAGAATAGACATTTACATAAAGGTTGTTGTTTTAAGGTTCTTAACACAGTAATTGGGCCAATGGAGTCCTACCAAAGTGCATTGCTGTTGGTATTGATTGCATGGAGTATCAGTTTCTGTGTAATCACCCAGCCCTAGAAGATACACATACGTATGTATTAAATCAAATGCTTGAGTCCTGTTTTCTCTTTCCCAGCAGTTCCATATTCATTCTACTTGCAAGCTGTGATTAGTGATCATATAAATATGTGTGTGTGCTATTAAAGATACTTTTTTCTCCTCTCAGTAAAATACCACATATACAGTGCTAATGGTTCTTGAGCAAATGTGTTCATAAACATTGCATCAGTGCGTTTGGTATTTTAAAAGCCCTTGGTTCTATAAATAGCACAGCTTTGCCATTTTATCGTAACATCTAGCATTGTCCCCATTCTGTGATTTTTTTGTGTCTAAAAATGACATTGGGTGTTATGTACAAAGGTTATTTGAAGGACAGTATTTCAGTTTCCTCTTGTCTTTATAACACACATTTACAACTTTTTCCTAAAAGAACTATTCATAATAGTTTGGCATAATAATTTCTTAGATGACTGAGGGAGCCCAATAACTTTTTTGAAAACATATTTTTTGTTGATTTCAGAGAGGAAGGGAGAGGGAGAGATTGAAACATCAAGGATGAGAGAAAATCATTGATCCGCTACCTCCTGCATGCCCCACACTTGGGGATGGAGCCCACAACCAGACACATGCCCTGATCTAGTTACCTGTGACCAACCAGATCACATCCCTCAAATTGAAACTACACTGCCACCTCCCACCCCAGGAAGGATCTCTGTTTAAAACCTTGTTTTACTTACCTTCTAAACTGGAGTTTAGAGATGTTGAATATTGAACTTTTGCTACTGACATTTAGAATAATTAAAAAATGGATAGGCTCAAATACATGTGACCACAAGCTACTTATTAAATATAAACATCAAGAAATGTATGTCAGTGTTTTCTCTTGGTTTCAGGTTCTAGGCATCCAAGTGAAATGCTTCCATGAAATTATCACTATAGGTTACAGAGTCTATCGTTCCTACGAGCTGCCATGGTTTAGAACACTCAGCTGGTAAGTGACTTAAAACCTTTTGATATGAAAATCTGACTCTTAATTAAAGATAAAGAAAATCTGACTCTTTTCTCAAGTGGGTAAGGGAGGCATTCTGATCAGTCAGTATCCATATAGTTGATCTTATAGATTGATTTTGGAGAAAGATAAATTAAAAAATTGCAACTGAATTTTGAAAAGAAGAAAATCACCTTCAATTCTCCCATTCCAACACAACTGTTAAAATATCACATGTTAGCCTTATTTCCCGGCAGTCGGACATCTCTCTTGCAATCCAGTACCGCTGGCTCCTAACTGCTTGCCTGCCTGATCACCCCTAACCACTCTGCCTGCCTGCCTGATCGCCCCTAACCGCTTCTGCCTGCCTGCCTGATCACCCCTAACCGCCTCTGCCTGCCTGCCTGATCACCCCTAACTGCCTCTGCTTGCCGGCCTGGTCACCCCCTAACTGTCCTCTGCCAGACTGGCCACCCCTAACAGCCTCTGCCTCGGCCCCTGCCACCATGGCTTTGTCTGGAAGGACATCCGGTCTAATTAGCATATTACCCTTTTATTAGTATAGATAGTGGGCAAAATGTACTGGTGGGCTAGAGTGGGCTGTGATAGCCTTACAGAAGAGTCCACGACAGTTTCCAGCGTAGGAGGATAGAAAAACGGTAGCACAGCTGATAGAAATGAGAATACTTGCCCTTTGAAAACAGTGGGGCATAATTCCCTCCATGAGGTCCAGAGCGAAGCCACCCCTTTCCTTTTCTGCTCTCCTGGCTACCTGGGGCTCTGCCCTTTAAAGCACATGGCACTAGGAACCTAGGGCGGTGTTTCTCAGCCTTTTTCCTGGCTCCCATTAGCAAAATCTCATGGGTTCCACCTTTCCCTGAGGGAAAAGATATACCAGAGCTTGGAGGAAGGACAGGTGGTTTATATGATTTTTAAAAGGTTCTACTGGAGATTTTTACTGCTGCTAGCTCCTATCCTCACTGCTGCTCCTTAAAAAATCACTGCTCAACAGGAGGCCATCAGGAGCAAGGAGGAGAGGGAGAAAGACGCCAACATGTGCGGGGCAGGTGGAAATTTGGCTTAGGATCTCTACTATAAAAAGCATTAGAGCTGTGTGTGTATGAGAGAGGGGAGAGCGGGGGAGAGAGAGATTGCAAGTATTTTCTATATTGTGAGATTGAAAGTATTTTTCATATTGTTTCCTAATATTGTTTCTGGAATTTGAGGGGCCTAAAAAAGCTTCAAATATAAAAAGCTAATTATTTTTAAATTACAGGTACTTCCTACTCTGTGTAAACTACTTTTTCTATGGAGAGACTGTAGCTGATTATTTTGCTACATTTGTTCAAAGAGAAGAGCAACTTCAGTTCCTCATTCGCTACCATAGATTTATATCATTTGCCCTCTATCTGGCAGGTAAGTTAAGGAAAATATTCTGTATCTATATGTAGCTAATAGATTTTACATGTTTATTTTTATTTTTGCTATTTAAATTCATAACATCCTTTCTTTGTTACATTTTAATCCAGCTTCTTTTTTTAGTTGTCCCATGTGAAAAGCTATTCTTTCTCATTAGGGTCTTAAATAGAAATTATATTTTAATGGTGGTTTTAAAAAGTACTTATTTAATAGTCACTCTGTATATTTGAAAAATTTCTTTGCAAATTGTAGTAAAGAAACTTTTAAATATATGGATTGATATAATCAGGTATAATTTATAAAGAAACCTTCACACTTATATTGCTTTATTTGTTCCTAGGTAATAGAGTTTTATATAGACTTAATCAGGGTACTTAGTTTTTCTGACATGGTTCATTACATATTCATTTATAGTATGCTGTGCCATATGTTTTTTATTTTAGATTAAGAATCAGATACTTAGGATAAAGTTAGGATTATAAATTTATTTTCCATTAAAGTTTCCCAACCATATACAAATTTTTAAGAAATTGATTTAGATATGTACTTTTTAAAAGTCAGATTTACATCGTTAAATGGGTGCCTAAAATATCACTTTATAGAAAGTATCTACAATTACATTTTCATTCTTTTATGACAGTTTGTTTTTCTTGAGCTTGGTAACTGCTTCCCCTTCTTTTCTCCACATTTGTAAAGTTCTAGGTAGCAATCCTTAATTTTTCCTTCAGGTCTGTGCTATGTCTGTTGGTAGCTTTTTCAAATGTTCACACAAATCAGTAGCGGGTCAGTTCTCTCTTTTCCTGGAGACCCCTGTTCCAGAGACTTTGGTGGTATTACCATTGGACTGGCTGCTGGAAGGCCTACAGCGTACCAGTATGATTTGGCCTCCTTATTTCTTCTCTTCCATGCCCTCCAGTTTCTGGGTTTACACCCTCATTTTGTTGTAAGCATGGCCTCCGATAGTTTCCTATGAAATGTTCTTAGAAGGTAAAGGTCTAAAAATATTTTTATTCACCTGGCCGGTGTGGCTCAGTGGTTGCGCGTCAACCTATGAACTGGAGGTCACGGTTTGATTCCTGGTCAGAGCACATGCCTGGATTGCAGGCTCCATCCCTAGTGTGGGGCATGCAGGAGGCAGCTGATCAGTGATTCTCATCATTGATGTTTCTATCTCTCCTTCTCTCTTCCTCTCTGAAATCAATAAAAATACGTTTAAAAATATATATATATATGTGTGTATCTATCTATCTATCTATCTATAGATATATATATATATCTATAGATAGATAGATAGGTAGATAGATAGATAGATAGATAGATATCCTGTTCGTACAGTTGACTGCTTTGGCCAAGGCTCCCACTTATTATTAGTCGACTTTTACTTAATACTCTAGTTTAGAAGCCCAGGCCTCACTCTTGCCTTCCACTGGGCCTTTTCTGGACACTTTTCTCTAGAAGATACTGTTGGCCGTCCCTGATTTGTTAGGTTTGCTAAAAGTTATCCAATCTCTTTTCCAGCTTCCAAAATTTTGCAGCCATTTCTCCTCTGTTTTCCTTGACGTTTCTTCAGTTCTCTTTGCTCTCTGGGTTTTATTTTCTTCATTGTTTTCTTTCTCTGTGGGTTTTTGCCTAAACATTATTTTAGTTAGGCTACTGGGACAGAATAGAAATAAATGCATGCGGTCAACTTGCCATTTTAAGACAGAAATCCTAACTAGTTTTATATTTTTTATTTTGGCTTTAAAGAATTTACTGTTTTCTCTGATGGATCCGGGGCTGACTGGGCCTCAGTGGGCAGTTCTGACGGAGGACCTCTCCCGGGGAGGCATCAGATGGAGGCAGTGCTAGTCATTTAAGTCTTGAGTGGCTGGACATCCGAGATGGCTCGCTCTCAGGGCCACAGTCAGTGCTGGCTGTTGACTTGAGCTTCTACTTTTGGCCTCTCCATGGGGCTTGGCTGTCTCTGAGTGCCACGGATGGGTTCTGAATAGGGAGTGACTGCACCAAAAGCCAGTGTCTCAAGAGTCCTTAATTAGGTGTGTTTTTTAAACTGGTTTCCAAAAATGGAAGCATGATACATGCCCATAGTAAACAGACTAAAAAGCAGTATTCAGTGAAACCTCCCTCCTACCTCAGAGCCTGCCTTACTGTCTCTAGGGGCTCACGACAGCTATTGCAGACATTTTTTGCATGTTCGAGCTTATATGTCTGTATCTTCCATTCCCCCTCATTTCTTTTTTTAATACAAGTGAGAGCAGACTAGTCTGTACCTGCTTTTTTCCAGTTGATGTAGCTCATGGGTGGTTTTACATTGGGACATCGGAATCGATCTCACGTTTTCCATACCTGCAGTAGCATCTATATTGATGTGCAGACAGCGGTATCTGCTGGGCAGAATGTCAGAAAGTACGGTGCCCACCGTTTCCCCAGCTTACTTTCCCCTTGAGGCTTGCTTTCTCTTATACTTGAGAATAACTTCTCAAAGCGGTATCTGCTGGGCAGAATGTCAGAAAGTACGGTGACCACCATTTCCCCAGCTTACTTTCCCCTTGAGGCTTGCTCTCTCTTTACTTGAGAATAACTTGAGTGGTAACGAAGATGTAATTTGTTTTCTTTATTGTTTCTTTTTATACATTTTATACATGACGGCCTCCCAGCCAACCATTATAGTGTTTGCTTGCTTCATACACTGTTTTCCAACTCAAATTTATAAAATAAAACCAATATTCCTTCCTTTTTTCTGACTGATTTCTGTCGGAGAAATAGTGCAGTTTAGGCTCGTGGACTCACAGGAGCTCATTGAAAGTCAGTGTCATTCTTCCAACAAGCATTTGAGTGCTTTCCAGATGCTCGGCACTGTGGATGGTGCGGAGACAGGGCAGTATGGCCGACAGTGTGCCTTCCAGGGTCTTGAAATTGGTGGGACATGCGTCCCCAAGTTTATTGCTGAAACATGAGCCAGGATCTCTAAGCAGACAGGAGGGCAAGGAGGGCCTTGCTCTGCTGGGGATGGAAAGGCTACAGAAGGCCTTTGAGAAGAGATTTCAGGAGCAAGCAGGCATCTGCCGGGTGGGTAATGGAAAGGGCTTTACAGGCTTGGAAATGAGAGAGCGACGCATGTCCTGGGCTGGTGGCAGGCATTAAAAGTTGGACAGGTGGGCAGGAACCACACCTTGAGAAGCTGTGTGTATTGTGGGAAGGGTTTGGAAACCATTGGGATTTTACGCTAAGAGATGATATGACCAGATTTTTAATTAAATGAAAGATGAGTTGAGAGACATTAACAGGGCGACTAGATAGGAAACTGCTGCTGTAATTCCTACTAAATAGAATGAGGACCTGAGCCATTTAGGTTTGTATTTAATACTAAGAGGGTCATAAAGTAAATAAAACACTGTAGGCTGACCTTAGAAACTCACAGCTATTTATGGAAGTCCATGAAAAATTTCTTCTGTATCCCCCATTATTGGTTCAAGATGTACTCTTTGTTGAGATGATTGTGTCTTTATATGCGGTCATAAGGAATAATAGAGATATTCCTTATACTTTGCCCAGTTTCCACCAATGTAATATTTTGCAAAATTACAATATATCATACCTGGATACTGATGTTATTACAGTCCTACAACTGTACTTTTAAAACACAACCTTGTAGTAAACTAGGAGCTACTGGGTTAAATGACAAAACTTCCAATACAAATCCCCATAGTCTTCTATATCTACTGTTTTATGTGTGGTCTAAATATGGTCCTATTAGACCATAAGCACCAATTTGCATCTCAATTGTGTTTTAACTCCCAGGCTTAGCATGGGGTCTGGAGTTGGGGTTCCCAGTGTGTATTGTTGGGTGAATGATCAAGAGGCAGAGAACATGCACATCCACACAGTGCTTCCTCAGGGTGCTTCCTCGGCATCAGTGCTTCATTTGCTGAGTGTTGAGGCTCTACTGGTGATTGCTGAAGTGGTTAGCAACATTGTGAGCTTACTCTAGCAAATGGAGTTAGACTTCAAAACAGGAGCGAGAAATAGAAAGTGTTCTATGCTGAGAACGTTCCATCTTTCTCTCAAATTATGCTGTGAAATCTTTTTTAAAAATAGGATTTTAGTGATTTCAGAGAGGAAGGGAGAGAGAGAGAGAGAGAGAGAGAGAGAGAGAAGAGAGACATCAATGATGAGAGAGAATCATCGATCTGCTGCCTCTTGCACATCCTCTAGTGGGGATTGAGCCCACAACCAAGGCGTGTTCCCTGACCTGGAATTGAACCGTGACCTCCTGGTTCATAGGTCGATGCTTAACCACTGAACCACATCAGCGGGGCACTATGAAATCTTTTTGTTGAACAATATTCCAAGGTCTTGTGAAAATTTTAGTTCTGACTTTGGAAAGTATAGGTCTTAGCAAACTTAAAAAGCAGAGACAGCCAAAGCTATTTCATTGACATTGAATTTTATTAAAATAAAATGTAGGTATCTCTGGTCTGACCTCCTCACCACGGCCCTAGAAATTAAATGACTTGTTTAATATCATACAAAATGACTCTCTGACTAGGACCTGGAAATCATTCTGACATTTAGATAATTTTGTTGTAAAATGAATTTAACTGATAGCAAGAAAAAATCAGTAAGACTAAAAGTAATGCATATAAGCATAGCTAATGGACATAAGACACTGGGGGGTAAGGGAGGGCAGGGGATTGTCAAGGGCGGGGG